GGAGTTGTAATGTAATTGGTTACATGTGCAGCTAGTTTTTGCTCATCTCTGATCCAAAGCCTCAAGGTTGCTCTTCCGAGCATATTGTTTTGCTTTCATCTGTTATTTTTTTTTTTGTGTCATATCTTAACAGATCATATTTTTAACTTCTTCTCCAGAACCACTGTACCAAATGAAGAAAAAATTGTCACCGAAGGAATTTAATTTGAAACTCATTCACTTTTCATGCGAGGTATATTATGAAAGGTGCATATGTGGTGTGATCATTTAAAAAGCACTTGGTTAGAAAATATGAAACTTATGCATTAGAAAAATTAATATGTCTGTTTAATTTTATCTAATTGACCTTACATTTTAGCTCAAACACATAATTTTTACGTGCTGTACATAGGGCATACCCGGTATAAGCCATGATGCTGATAATTGATCCTCTTGGCACAGGTCGCTGCACATTATTCAAGAAAGATTATAGAATTGAAGAGATAGTTATATAATAAAAAAAAAAGCTAGTGAGTATGCAAATCACAAAATTCCGAAGAAAACTTACATAAAATATTATGGCATAACTATTTGTGCAGTTATAAAGGTGGTTAAATACGTACTCATGTCAATTTTAACAAGATCAATGATCAGTTTGGTTCTGTTACATCAGTTTGGTTATTATCTTTTAAAATATCATTAAGAATTTTGAGTAGAGGAGATAATGAGTAGAATTAGATCTTCACGTCATTTACAGTTTGAAGTTGAAAAGTTCTAGGTAATACCAAAAAACATGCGATTATGTTCAAAATGTTATTTAAATAATTTAAAGGATGAAATACATTTTCTCTTCAAATGCACTGAATTTAAAGATAAACGACGATTTTTCTTAAAATCTTTCTTAGATGTATGTATGTACCAGTTTCCCTAATCTTTATTTCAATGTGAAACTGGTATGGCAATAATTTTCAAATGAAAATGATGAGTAAATCTTGAAAATACTAAGCCAATTCATATCAAAACACTGTATATGACTGTTTAAAAATTACTATATTTAACTGTTACATTTTGCAAAAATTAATGTAATGTACACGCTTTGCTTATCTGTAGTAAACGTGAGAAGGAATGCAGATTCCTTCCATATCTTATATATTTGACTAGAATTCTTGTGTTTTCTAGAGAACCGTCCCTTAATATCTTCTAAAATCTGACAAACGTTAATACATTTTTTAATATAAAAAATATTATAATACATAAAATACATAAATACATTCACACACAAACATATTGGAAATTTTGTTTAATTTTTGCTTATTTTGTTATTTTTTCGCAATATTTTTTTATGATACATACATTGTTGAATTGCTGTTCAAAATTAGTTATGTAGACGAATGCTTTCCAGACAGTTACTCTTCTGAGACATGTTTATCCTAGAGCATTGTCTCTTGATATCTTGTATAGTTTAGGAACTGAATTGTTATTCCTACATAGCTTCAAGGTGTAAGAGAGACAACTCAAATTACTCACTACCTCTGTTCTGTCCAGTCCTCTGGAATGTTTGCAAATCCTGCTTACTTTTATGGTTTCTTGAAAACAACAAAGTGTCCAGTCTTTGAGTGATTTCCTTTTTTCATTATTATTTGAGTTATGATTTCCTTTGTTCATTATTACCTATGTTTACATCACCATAAATGCAAGATTTTTTATGAGCTGATTTTCTGTGGCTGCCCCTACACATTACATTTTTACCGCCACAGGATCGATGCTAATTTGATGTATTGGAATACAGTAAGAATATATAACGTAACAGTATGATATGCGACAAACAAAAAAGTCAGGAATATAAATTTCCTCCAGCAAACTCTTTAATAAATCAAATCTATCGCCATACAATTGTTTTGAGAGTTCTCAATTTATTTTTAAGTATTGAATGCGCAATATCTTGCTTCTCAAATTAATTAAATATATCGTCAATACATTTTGGGAGAGTTCTTAATTTACTTTAAAGTAAGGCCCATTGTATTGCTTACCCGTGCATTGTCAATTATCTCGTAGACTCTATCGCTGAACAAAACGGATAAATGAAACAAATGGAGATAACGAACAGAATTCAAGACAAAAGTCCATAAAAAATACAAAATAAGAGCAGGGCAAACACGGACCTCCAAAACATCAGGTGGGATCAGGTGCCATGGAAGAGTGAGCATCCTCTGCCGACCGGTCACACTCGCCGTGTGCTTCTTGTCATGATGGGAAATAATGGAAAAGTTCTCCGTCAATGCATTGTATAAATAATGGACTAACAATTAGGATGAAAAACGTCAGTCAGCATTTGTTTCAATGATAAATTGTATTTGCTTCTAAGGTTATTTTGTCGACCATGGAACGTAAGAAATGATGACTTTAAACGAGACTGCTGATATTTTTGTTTCATCAACTTCACTGTCAATCATTTACCTCGTTTTAGAAATTGTTCCTACGTAGAGCATGCGCTTGCGAATCGAATCAACTAAGACACAAACTACCTATGCAGGTGATGAAGGTATCTTGCTGCATATGTAAGGGAAGTTAACGATAGAAAAGTTTACGTCATCACGTTCATCATAAAGTTTGGTTGTTGGATTACCATTAACTTCTTTTATGTCTCCTTTAATGCTATACTGAGCATTCATATAGTGATTTCATAATGCTATACTGAGCATTTATGTAGTGATGTTATATTGCTAAATGCTGAGCATTTATGGAGTGATTTCATAATGCTATACTAAGCATCTATAGAGTGATGTCTTAATGCTAAACTGAGCATTTATAGAGTTAGGTTGTAAAGCTGCACTGAGCATTTATAGAGTGGTGCTATAATGCTCTACTGAGCATTTATAGAGTAATGTTATAATGAGTGAGTAATTATAGGGTGATGCTTTACTGTATATCAACAACAAGTGAGTAAAATCTGTTATACTTAAATGCTTTACTGAACATCAGAAGGACAAATCATGATCAGAAGAACCAATGATGTGGTAACAGGTACATATATATTATATGTTATATAAATGATTTGCCCTGTTGCACCGCCAGTTAGCCTGTATTTATAAAAGTTTGCAGCTAATCCAAAATATCATATGAATACAAAATGATTTTACAGCTGTTCTAAATATGTAAACATAATACGTCCATACTGAATATTTTGTTCTAGACTCATGACATGGAGATGACGGCTTATGTTAACGACCGACATGGAATGTTTGCTCCTCCAATGTACCTGATTACATCTCTAATGTTTAAGTGTTCTGTGTTTTCTCTGCTCCCAATTGGTTTTTGTTAAATAAACTTTAGAGCTTGATTACTTTTGTTTCTTCGATATCGGAGCAAAAAGACACGGTGTAGTATACACTATTTTAACACAAAGGCACATTTATTAATTAAAAAAACAACAACCAAGCTCTCTTCACATGTTCTAAAGAAAATTAGTTTCAAAGAAAATTCATGTTTCCCAGAAAAACAAATATGAAAGTAATAGATGAATTAATATTAAAATTAAATGAACATAGCTTATGACTTTTAGATTTTCAAATCAAATTTGAATCTTATTTTTTAGTTAATACATGTAATGATTACCATTGTGAAGGTACTTAATACTGTACACCATGTATCTAATTCAAATTACAGTAAAACATTTAAATTAATGGTTGAAACAAAATGTGCATAATGATAAGATTCCTCACAAGTGTTATTTGTTGTGATTTGCAAATACAAAGGAACAGGTTGTACATAATTACAATGGATGGATTAAATTTGCTTTTAACACAAAGTAATCTTTAAAGGGGCATGGACACAGTTTCATCTAAATCTTTTTAAAAATGAATTTCAATTTTTACAATTCCTAGATATGGCATCATCTACTGATCAGCCAAAATTTGAACATCATTTGTTTATTAACAAACGAGATAGAGAACTTAAAGTTAATGTAAACATAAACAAGGCACGAGCCTTATTTATGTTTACATATAGAAAATATCATATTTATAACAAAATGAAATTCCGCAAATCACTAGAAACTGACTAATTGACTTTAGAATTAACTTTTTCATTGAAAGTATCTGCTTTGTACGAACATATATTAGTATATTAACATTATGTGAACAAAACATGACACGGACCATGCTTACATAACAAAGGTTTGGTGCTTTAAATTTGTCTTGTATCTTGACAACAGAAGTTCAACTTTTTGATGATCATTATTAAGACTAGTTAATAATTTGATAAAATTTGAAAAATAAATTTGAAATTTTTTAGCTTAAACTGTGTCTATGCCCCTTTAATATTGCTATGCTTTAAGAAAAACCACTAAATGTGCAAAAGAAAGTATTTCTGAAAACTTTTGTGAATTTCCTAGCTGCAGATCTGTAGAGTTATGGTTTTATATATTTGTCTTTGACCATAACGCTACAGATCCCGTAGTGCAAAAAAGGTGCAATTTACGGCGCAATATTTTTGCGCACTTTTGAGGAGAATTTTACCACTTTCCAGCATCGGTCAATCAACTACCTTTCACTCCCTAATTCTAGGCACATTATTTAACTTAACTGTGTATTTTATCCATCTCCCAACCCTTTATAGTCGTCTCTACAAGTGATAAACTCGCTTGATTATAATTATTTGTTAGATTGCTGATAATTCATATCAAGCGAGTTTATTGCCTGTAGAGTCAACTATAAATGGTTGCGAGGTGGATAAAGTATACATATTGACTACAGAATGTGTCTAGAATTAGGGAGTGAAAGGTAGCTGATTGACTGATGCTGGAAAGTCGAGAAATTCTCACCAAAAGTGCGCGAAAACAATTTCTTGTCAAAGACAAATGTATAAAACCATAACGCTACAGATCTGCAGCTAGTGAATTTTCAAGATATGAAAAAAATTCACCAGTAAACTTGAATATTTAAAACAAGCGAACTTTCTTTTCCTAGTAATTGTTCTGAATTGCTCAATTATTGAACTTAATTATAGGTTCACTTATAAGGCAGACATATTACACAAATGTTAATCATAAAAATCATCTGGTACATCATCCTTGGTAAGACGAAGTATAAAATCATTAGCCCTTTGCATCATGGTCAAGAGATAGAAGAGGGCTAGGATGTCCTTCTCCAGTGTAGGAAGATTTTCCTCGTGGTAGTTTGCCATTGGAAAAACGTGCGTTAATGGAATCTGCATGTACTCGGCAGCTTTCGTACATGTATCCTTAACATCCTGACTTCGAAAGATATCCCGCAAGTTATGTGTGTTGGAAATGCGAAGCCTATCAACCTTATTGAAAAGAACCATCTGTGGCAAATCTGCAAAAAAATATGGAATCCAAAAAATGAAAAATTTTTATTATGTAATTGTAATAGAATTTTATCAAATAACAATGTTTATAGAGAGGTAGTAAAAACTTCTTTCTTTTGTTATTACATTGTATTTTATTTATGAAATAAAAATTTTAACGAAATGTTTGAAAACATTGAGAGATCCTTGTCTTCAACGAGAACCTTTTCAGTATATCAAATAATTTTTTTTATCTCGAAGTACGAGCAATGATTGAAGCAATGATTAATCATAAGTAAAAGAAAGAACATGTAAGTAATGGTGACATATATTTATGTTTATGTATCAAATGAAAAGAAAGTATGATCACTGATCTCATAGTTGACCAGATTCTAGATCAAGTCAATTTGTGTGCCTATTAGACCATTTTGCATGCAGTATTATCATATAGTCAATAAAGAGTCCCTGTTTAATTAATAATTTACATTCGCTGTGTTTTTCTAGTAAGCCAACAGTGAAATTGATTTGAATACCATTTTCGTGTATACACACGCGTAGAAATATACACAGAGAAACGTGTGCTAACGTGACGTCACAATGAGGCTACGGCGACGTCAGTAAAAGGAAAACGATATAGGGCAGCAAGAAATTCAAATAGTGAGTTTATTTTTGGTGCTTCAAAACATGTAAAATGTAAATATAAGGAATGTTTTTAAGTTTAGTGTGAATTATAGGTGTGTGAATCACACACACTTGCTAGCGCTACATGGAATATGCCTACGTGACAAGTCTGTGTGATTCACACACCAATAACTCACACAAAACTTAAAAACATTCATTAACAAACGTCAACAGTACATAACATCACATATTCACTGGATTTGAAGCTATATACATCGGAGGGTCAGTGTACGTTCAACTGGATTGTGACGTCACAATCAATACCTCAAACGACCTTGAAAACAATGGTTGCAACGGCCGGGGTCAGCTGTGTGCTTGAGCAGGAACAAATGTTAGGGAAATCTTTTGCGTGTATATTTCCCAACTAGTTCAATGTCTTACATATAGTCAAAGAAATCAGGGCAGTTATAATTTGTAATCTGACCATTTTTTAAAAAAAAATCTACGACAGACGTTTATGAAAAATAATATGGTCATGCAGCCTTTAGTGTCTTATTTATTCAAATATAATATGACAATTCAACCGCCGAAACATGGCTGAAAAATTGCCGACTCGGCGTTAAACAATATTCAATCAATCATTTATATGACAATTATACACTTTTTTGCTATCTTGTTCTTACAGTGTGTTATTCAGAAGAAAAAGTTTCACAATTTAATAATATTTAAACATACGTGTTCTTAGTCTCTTTTTCATATTCAGTAAATAATTCCCCAGTTTTCTACATATTATGAAAGCAAAAACTTCTTTATTTATATTTCTTAAATATTGTGTCCCTGTGTAAGAGAGTGCAGCTTTTATAAATCAAAGACCGCGGCCTGAAGATACTCTTAAACTCAGAGGGGTTTTAAGATTTTGGCCATTTTGAAAAAAAGTTGTAATGTATCTAACGAATGGCCATAGTTTTACATATCTGCATCATTTGCATAATTTACGAATTTATTTTCAGATAAAAAAAATAAATACTTGTTCAGAAATTTAACAAAAGAGAAGAATATATTATATGTTTTAAGGAAAGTACTGAAATCTTACGCTGTCTGGCTAGATTTTCCCTGACATATCGTAATTGTTCCTCAGTCTTGTGATCCGTCAGTTGTTCAGCAGGATTCTCAGCGTTGGCAACATACACAACACAGTGCATGCGGTCTTTTGTTTCTGGGTCCTTTCTATAATAAGGATCATCTTCGTCTATAGGAGCCACTGGATTAATCTTTAATGTATGTAATATAACATGAGAAATCGATAAACTAGTATAATTATAAATATTGTATGTAATTGAGTGTAACGTTGAAAATTTTCACCCCAAGAAAACCATTGTCAACCGAGGCGCAGCCGAGGTTGACAATGATTTTCGAGGGGTGAAAATTTTCAATGTTACACTCAACTACATGCAATATTTATTATATTGAATGTTTTATACAAATACATATAAAAGTGAACCGTGCGCACATAAATTCTGCGCAGTCGCTATTTTTTGGAATATCACCCATCGTCAAACACTGTTGACTGTTGCTATGCTGAAGGGCGTGGCTTCATTATTCAGCGGGTAATAGTGTTTTTTAACAAATGTTTCTCGACAAATCAGATTCAACTAATTTACATGAAAGTATAATAATAATTATATGCACGCAAAGTCCGGGGTATGTTAGTACTTAGAAACAACCTTGTATCCACTTTTAACACGTCCTTCAACGATTGCTCTAATGTCCTCTGTGGGAACTCCGTATTCAACATTCAGTCCCCTACAATCAAATAACCGCAACGGGAGAATCTTGCCCTCCTTTGTTTTCATTGGAATTGCTTCCAACTGTAATGAATATAGCAAAAGAAATTAAGCTAGAACAGATTTTTCTTTTCAGAAACAATCAAATACACCTCAAAGCATTGTTTAGCACTATTGAGCAATTGTAAAGACTCACTGCACAAATAAATAAGTAGGCTAAATATTGCTTGAAAAAGTTAGGTGTGTATGATGAAATCAATGTAAAATAAAGATTTTCACAGAAATGATAAAAGAAAATTACAGCTGTGGTTACACTTCTACTACTACTTTGGTAGATCAGGCTTGATGTCACTAGTCTGTCTTCGTTTATTATGGCAGTTAAACAGGTATTGAAAAATGACGATTTTCCAGAAGCTGCTTGTCCAAGGAGTAAAATATTAAAATATTTTATGCCACCAGCTGGTTTTATGGCATTTATTTTCTGCAGAAGTTCCTCTTTAAACTAGGAAAAAGGAAAGCATTAGAATTAAAATTAGTGTAAATCTGCCACTCCATTTTCTTATTGATATGTTTATTATTTTTATTTTACTAAATTTTTGGTTGATTAGTCAAATCAAATCCTAGGTTCGATATCCTAAATTGTTATTTTCAAAAATCATCCAAAGGAGCTTTGTTTGTTTTTAAGTGCGCCTTTATTGTAAGCTTCTTTAAGTCTCATTGTAGTCGTCTGTAGAGTCGCAGAGTAAGGAGTTGATTCTTACATCTCGGGTTTGAATACCACTGTTGGACGTGAATGAGATCGTATAAACCGAATACCTATGTTGCATTAAAAAAAATCTCTACCTGCTTAATTACCCCAAGTGCCATGTATAGGTCAAAATATGTAGCTCTCCACCGGCAAGTTGCGGAGTCTCCATATGAGTGAAAAAATTCTCGAGAGGCACATCAAACAACAAACAAATAAACGCACAGATAATTGTTTCTGGATAGACCCTATTTTTTACGATTATCTAATACAAGTACGAGGGTTGATCTAAAAGTTCGTGGAATTTCTTCATAATTTTTGTATTTTTTAATGGAATTGGTTGAAAATTACAAATGAAAATATAGACACTTGATGAATATTTTAAATTAAAAAAAAAACATTTCAAATATCATTAATAGTAACTTCATGGCAGTTGCCATAGAAACGGTTGTTTGGAAATGCGGGGGAGACATTAACGCGTTTATTATCATTTTGAATCTTAATACATGAAATGAAAATAAAACCGCCCTATGTGGCATTGGATATTTAGTTTATTAGTTGATGACATATTGTTCATATTTAAGTTGTTAGACAACGTCAAATTTCTCGTATATATAAAAACACTGGAAAAGTTTATCCCCTACAGCTTACGTACATGTACGTCCCTTTTTGATATTTCTAGAAAAATGAGCTTATTCTTCACAGTTTTGATAGACGAATGGCAAAATAATAGTTCGTTAAAATCCAACAGAACCTAACACTGAGTCTGAGACATTTGTTTCATATTTAAATATTTTACTAGAAAAAAGTTTTAAAACTTCAATTAAAACGCAATAACTTCACCATATCAATTGTCAACTTCTTTTGCTTATATAGCAATATACTTTTATCGTTTGCAGATGGAGTTTACGTTTTCCAAATGATTAGACATGTAACGGCATGCCCTACCTACGAATAATTTCTAAAACGAGGCAAGCTATTGCCAAAGAAGTTGATGGAAAAAGAATATTAAATGATTCGAGACTCTCGTTTAATGTCATCGGTTTGGAAGTTCTGTAGACAAAACACTGAACTTTTCAGTTAGTGTTATTAATGTCATTAAATCAATTACTGGCTGACGTTTCTGTTTTCATTGTAAAAGCAATTATTTACACACTGACTTCTTTATAAACATCCCCAATTTTTCCCAATCATTATATGGAGCACATGGCGTCTGAGGCTGGTCGAAGTACTACAGTTAACAAATTATTAATGTACGAGAGCTATTCAATAAATAATGCCCTGAACTGTATGATATACAATACAGATATCATATTCCATTATGCTTGACTTTCTCTCATTATTGAATCTTTAAAGAATTTATAACAGTTTATGTTACCACTTTTCATCACATAGTTTCATTGTGAAAAGCTAGAAAACAAGGGCTATTCGAGACACTGCATTGAAAATGAATGGCAAAGAACCAGTAAACTAGAGTGGAATTAAACGCTTCATTAAAGCTGCTGTAAAACTCGTTAGGATTCCCAAAGAAATATTCACTGAAATATGTAAAATTCACGGCAACCAATGTGTGTCTTATAGACAAATGAGTAGGTGGAATTCAATGATAAAAAAAATTATATAATGGGCATCAAAACTGGGTACCGTCCTTGCCAACAAAAAATTATAACAACTAATGTATTTTTGCCAAATTTCAACAAATAATCTTTGATGATGTATGATTGATGTAAATTTGATAGATATCATTTCGGGAGGAGTTCACATTGATTTAAAGAAACGTTTGACAATAAAAAAGCTTAGTACTCTAAGATCACCCTATGTTTTGAAAAATGAGTAAAAACAACAGCGTGTAGGAATATCTAAACAATTATGTTAAAATATTAGTAATTGTAGTTATCCACGTTTGTTTGAACTTCAAACAGATAATAAAACTTGAATCTATTGCTTAAAACCCTCGAAACACAATTAACAATAAGATGTACTTTGAAAAAAAAAACAGGAAAGGTCTGAGAAGTGAAAGGAATTGCATGAGCACAAACTTTAAGACAAATTTATATGCAATTTTTAAAAATATTAGTGGTCTTGTTGGTCAAATTCTATTCAGGGAGGCAGTTTAATTTCAGGAGGAGTCTAGAAAGCAGATTTTTGCAAAAAAAAAATCGAAAGGTTTATGAGAGAAACCAGAATCAGGAATATACAACATTAAATTTCCTCATGACAGCGTTCAGCAAACCCACAGGCCCTGAAGAGTAAAGGAGTTTTTAAAATAACCAGAAAGTTAATGTTTTTTCACAGTAACAATATTCACCAGATCTTTCACCTTTTGACTTCTTTCATTTTCCAAACTTGAAAAAATAAAACAGAAGGAAGAAACAAGTCCAGGAAATCATATAGGTTCTGCTATTTTCCAGTATACTAAGGGTCATACCCAAAATTGAGTTCTAAAAACAGTCAGAAATTCGATAAAAATGTTACTAACATGTGTTTTAATTAAAAGAGAATAATAAGGTAAATCATTAAGACTAAATCATTGAAAAGCGTCTTTTGCTTCTTTCCGAGCACCGAGGACATTATTTATTGAACAGTCCTCGTACAGTTATTTTTGTGGGGGGATAATTTAAAGGGAATGTTATTGGTGAATCATGATCTGACTTAGCTACAATAATGTAGCCCTCTCCGATTTTTTATCTGATATTTTCTGGAGAGGGCTACAATTCCACAGCATCTCCGTCATAGTGCAAAAATATTTTTTTTAAATATGGGCGACTGCAGGCAGAATAGATTGTTTTTACATTCAACTTACTTATAATAAGACGAAATTTTTATTCACTATCGACATCATAGCCCGTTAAACTCGAAAACCATGTAAAATAAATATGTGTTTTTACCTTTCGCTTTATTCAACAGCCATGACAGTTCACGCGTGACGTATTGAGACTTGCGCTTGAAATTTAAAAAACTCAATAAAGCAAATATCGATGTTTATAAATAATTGTGATGAATAGTTACCCTAAACATCATTAAATAAAATCATATCATATGTTATTTTTTCGTAAACAGCGATATTAAGGCTTGAAATAAGATAATTCCAAAGAAATCCGCTCCCTATAGATCCTTAATCTCATTTGCTGTTCCAAAATAAAATCTGTCAAGGTCAGTAAACATGGCGGATAATTTAAGTTGTGATGTTGACATACACGAAAAATACGGAATATATGGATTGTTCTGTATATATGTGGATCGATTTATGTCTGGGATAACTACATTTTGGAAGTCCAGGTAAGACATATTAATAAAATAGCCGTTTACTGACAATTTGAGCCGAAATCCGAGCGGGAGTGAATCGCTACCGCATTGTACCATTACGGAGATCCTAAGGAGTTGTAGCCCTTGTCCCCCCCCCCCCCCCCCCCAAAAAGGGAGAGGGCTACATTATTGCAGCTAGATCTGACTGATCTAACTTATCAACAAATCTTTGTGATCGGAAAGTCGTGAGTTAGAATCTCGACCGCAACTGACCTAATTCGATAAAAAAAAAAAATAAGGAGATTCTGTTCCTTCGCCATGCACTCATCACTTTGAAGTGAAAGCTGTGGGCCCTTGAAGATCCCTAACTGTTCAATGGCCCCGAGTGCCGAGTTAAGGTCAAAATTTGAAGCCTTTAATCAGAATATGGTGATGGCTTAGTATAAGTGAAAACTTTTCGATAGAACGTTAAACTATATACAATCAACCAATCTCGAACGGGATGTAAAACAACACACAACCAATCAATCAATTAATTGTGATGAAATTGTTCAATAAGAGAAATATATAATATAGATAAAGATAATTATTTAAATTTGCATGATTACAAAAGTTTGGTAGTTCTTACGTGACTATATTAAACATTTTCAAAAGAATAAATGAATGTTCCACAACAATATTATTTAGTTTATAGTTTATTAAAATATTAAATGTATGTATAACCAATTTTTATAAAATTATAATGTAAATAAGAATTACCTCCCGAGTCCATGGATCTTCAAATTTTGAAGATATTTTTCTCCAAGGTTCCTTTAATGGTTCTAAAATCCATGGATTTAATCAAACGAATAGCTGTATATATGTTTGAATTAACCAAAAATATAATTAGATATAGTAAAATATTGTAGAGTCCACACGGGCCGGTTTTATTGTGTATCTTCTTTAGTATTTATTGAAATATTTAGCATATAACTATATGGCACCCGTATCTTTATCACTTACATGAATAAATATCTAAGATATTACATGTATTTTTTTCCAATACGAATTTTACCTAGATACTTTCTTTTTTTCTCTTCTTCTTCTACAAAAAAAATTTAGATAAAAAATTATTGAATTTCATGAATTTCAATGCTAAAAGAGATCTTTTGATACACATATAAAAAAATTTAAACAATGAAAAATGACCTTTTACAAAAACGGGACTGGTACAACTGTACAGTGTATATCTTTTTAATCAATATTTGTCATATATAGCTCATTTATTTACTGCACCTATAGCTTAAATATACAATATCCTTTTACTCCAATAAATACATACATGACGTAGTTTTTTGTTTACGTTACAATTTTACCTTGATGTTTTCTTTTTTTCGCTGCTTCTTCTACAAAATATTATTAAATAAATCATTTAAATTCATGAATTCCCATGCAAATTGCTAAACAAAAAAAGAAAAGAAAAAAAAATTAATAAAATTGTAATTATCTATGCCTACCCTCCTTTCGCTGCTGAAGCTTCAGTTCTGAAATTTCAAAAAGTTTCGATTGTGTTGTTTGTATTTTGAAATTGGAATGGAATAAAGATAAATTAATACATTGTATCTTAAAAACAAAATAAAATAGCAATTACGCTTTCATTTGAAAATAAAACCAATAAACAATTCACATAGATATGTATTTCAATATATTGAACATTTTTATCGGTCTTAATAATTGATTAGCAGTTCATTATAGCATTGCATTGTCATCTTTTATAAATATATACATTATATATAGTATATTAACACTAATCAAATGTAATTGAAAGTCCTTACCTTCTAACTCCCTGGCTAGCTTCTCTGCATAAAAAGAACATTGTATACATTATATATTTGATTTTTAGATAGGACTTTGTAATCATGCAATTATTACAACCTGGTCTTCAAAAGTAGGACATTTTTAAGTTGAAACCGTTCAAATGAATGGTGGTACAAAAGATATAGTCAGAGCAAATTAACTTTTTGCATTGGGCAATTGTTTATTAAACAGACACTTAGACCGGTGCTGCATAGTGAGACAAGTGCTAATAGAAGAAATCAGTAGATTTCAGGTATCAGGACGCTTCACTTATCCGGATGATTGACTGGGAACTTAAGCGTCCGGATAAACGAGATCCTACTGTATCAAACAAAACTTACGTTCTTTTTCTCTTTGTTCTCTCTCTTGTCTTTCTCTCGCCTCTACAATGTGAAGGTTGCAAAATCCGTTTAATCCAATATCTAGATAATTAAATTTATGAAAGGCAAAAAAAAAGCAGATTTTAAAAATGTGATTTTTACATTTATAGATATTAAATCATTACCTCTGATCTCCTCCTCTTTGGCCTTGGATTCTGTTAAATATTAGATAAAATAGCTTAATAATGGAAACCGGATTACTAAAAATAAATTAGATATGAAATTATTATAAATAATCATAAATGTTATTGCATTTAAATTGTATCAAAAAAGAAAATATAACAAACCATGATCGATCCCCTCCCCAAAAAACAAACTCTATGGACAGAGAGCGAAAAATATGTTTTATTTTGTTCAAAACTATCCCCACACTAATCTAAACAAGTGCATTGCATTTAAACATTTTTAGAATGAAAGTTATAGTTCTAAAACTTTACATTTTAATTTTGATATTCAAACTTTGTCTTTGTCCCCATCTCTTTGACAGGGATTTGAAAAACACAGTGATAACTTAATATTAGTTTAGGGAATTTCATGTGAACCAAGTTATAATTCTCCCTTCACCATGGAAGAAGAAAAAAAATTGTCTCTTATTTATAACTTTGTATATCTCGCGAGATTGTAGGGAGAAAACATTTTTGATCAGAATATTTTTTTCAGAAAGGGTGTACATCACTATGACATGTCAAGATACACTGATAATAATTATTGAGTTATCTGATTATTAAGCCTAATAGAATTCTTTTCCCACGAATTAAATATTGTATTTTGAAATTGATTTTTTGTTCAATAGTTGTGTTTAATAGTGATTATTGATTCAGCAGTAAAGATTATCTAGAAATCATTTTTTGAGTTATTCTGGATCTTATACATGTGCCGATATGATGAGTGTTGGAATCGACATTTTAGCTCACTTGAGCGGAATGCTCAAATGATTTTTTCTGATCACATTTTTTTTTCTGTCGTCCCTCTGTCCGTCCTTCGGTAAATTTTTCACATTTTCAGCTTCTTCATAAATGAAAAGCCAATTTCAACCAAACTTGTCGCAAAGCATCCGTGGATAAAGCACATTCAAATTTCATCAAATGAAAGATGATTCCCTCTTTCAAGGGACATATATCGGAATAAGTGAAAATTTAGCAGCAACTATTAAAAATCTTTTCAAGAACCTTTGCGTCAGAAAAAGGTTGAAACTTATTTGAAAGCTTCATTATAAAGTGTGGATTCAGTTTAAATCAGATCATATGCCCATTGCGAAGGCTAGAGATATAATAGGAGATCAACGTGTTATAAAAAATTCTTTCAATATCTACTCAAGAACTACTGAGTCAGAAAAAGGTGATACTTATGTGAATGCTTCATTTTATAGTGTACATTCAATTTTGTACGTGCTGACATGAAAGAAATCCTTTTAAATTACTATCAAAGACCTGAGTACCGAGTATAAGTCTAAAATTGCAGTCCTCCATAGGACTGAAGAAAGAAAAAAAAATCTTACAAAATCTTCGCAAGAACCAAAGACGGATCCATTACCAGCGTCTCTAGCTTGATTTTCCTCTGGCTTTTGTAAATTCTAATTATCTAACTTGCATATACATACAGGTATACTCTTTGTTCAATTCACAGGTAAAACTTTGTAACGAAATTACCGGTATGAATTGAAACTGTAAAAACAATATATTAGTTTTAAAATTTACATTTTATTTGTGTTACTAAGAAAAATGGATTATTTAGACTTCGTTATGGGAATGCACTGTGAAAAACATGTACGACGTCATATGAATTCCAGTCTAGAAATTCAAAAGTCTTGTGCAGTTTGCTTGCCACTCGCACGAAAGTCTGATCACATAAACAGATGCATGTTTATAAAATCAAATTGTAATCGTAATGCATATTAAGAAAAGACACAGGCAAACGTAAATTTACACTAATGAAAGACAATATGTGCAGTTAGGGTAAGTATATAATGTCGTTGGTATGAAATAGCATATATATACGACACAAATCAGTATTCACACAAACTGCATTCACAAAACTACCAAAACATTTTATAAGCAACAATATCTGTAGGCTGACAATATCTACAAAATTTGTAGATTTTTAAAGTTTTTAAAAATAAATATCCTTCATCACATGAAATAGTTTCCATAAATCTTGTTTCTTTATAATTTTTAATCAGTTTTTAAATTACATATTGTAATGTATGCATAGAAAATAAAAAGTACACTTAGGCCATCTTAAGAGATAATGTTTACTTGCTCTCTTCCCACTCAGGGTAAAATTACTGGGTCGCAGGGAAAATATTTCTTACAGAAAATGTTAACATATTTGTTAGCGGGATAAGAGGAATAAAAAGAAAAATAATTTTGTGCCCTGGAATGAAATAAAAGTTTTGAGTCAGGCCATTTTTAGTCAGTCGAGAAGGCAACCAAACAATTTATTTAAAGATGGCCTTTATTTGGTTTCTGAATATTTAAGGAATCACTATCTAGTCAGTTAGTTAGTTATTAGGGAATGCCAGGGCATCAACGATAGTTGAAAGCGTGGGCTAATTTTCATAACGGGAAGTCCGTTATGCATAAATTATCCTACTGGTATACTCTAATAACTAGACAGTGTTTCCTTATACTTATACATGTATTTCCATTTCCTTTTGAAATAAAATTAAAAATTCACACAAACATATTCTTACACATCTTTGATATAAATATATACCTCTGAGTCTTTGTTCAAGCTCTGAAATTAAAAAAAACCCAGAACATTTAGATGGTCAAAGTCTACAGTCTGGTCAAAGGTACATATACAATAAAGAGAACAAGACAAAATATAAAGTGGGAAAAGAGTGGGGAAAATATATGAAGGAGAACAGACATCATCATAATTTTTTTTGATAAACATACGATGTTTTTTCTCAACATGCTTTCGTTTGAGGTTGACATTATTATCATGAATAATAATAACATTCGGTCGGCGAGAATAATATAGTATGTTATTGCGCATGTAATTCTTTCTTATATTAGCTAAAGTTTTACATTCTAAGATAATGGAATTCATATGCAACCTTTGAGTGTTTTTACAAAGTGTTCAGATCTTGTCAAACAGTGATATACCATACTATCTTCCAGTCTCTATTAGTAAATGGTGATTTGTGGTACGAAATTTCATTAATGTTTTTCTTAAGGACAGATTATGGGCAGCGGAAAGGGCAAAAATTACCATAATGAGAAAACAAACAATTATTTTAATTTCAATGACCATAAACTTAACAAATGATATACAGTGCATAATCAACAGACTTTTTCGCAGAACAAATATACATTAAAGCAAAACCAACGACCACGTACGTAACAAACATATATGAATGCAAAACCAACGATCATCTTTGCAGAACAAACGTACATAAAAACACGACAAACGAAAAAAACTTAACAAACGTGCACGCTGTAAATCTAGTCTTCCCGACAGCCGGCTCCCGACGGTCCGGGATTTTCTTTTCTTTTTTTGTCTTTTTTTTTTCTTTTGGCGATTTCTTTTTTGTCGGTGCACAGAAACTCTTCAAACTTCTCAGGCACATTTCTGGGTTCAAAAAATTCATTAATGTATAAAAACTTAAACAAATTCGTATTTTTTACTGAATCAGCAGTATCATCTGCCAAAAAGCGGTAGTACTCAGCTATAAATGCGAAAAACACTGAAAAAAGGATACCGTTGTTTTCGTAGAATCGCGATTAAAAACAACAAACTGAGGTAATTTTCTTTTTGATAAATGAAAACCCTCATTTACATGTCAGATAATTTGTATGCACAAACATTCCCTCCACTTTTTTTTTGTATAGAACTCTTTGCCACATCATGTTTATGTTCCCAGGCTCTACAACATGGACGTGGTTCTACCTCGGATCCCCCTTTAATTTTTTCCTTTTTTTTGGGGTTAATTTATCTTAAAAATTTCAAATGAAAGAAAAGAATTTACATAAAATGAAAAAAAAATCTCATTCTCCTGAAGGCCGTTTCGTCATTTTTTTTCGTTGTTGTTACATAAACTGGTTTTCCCCAATTCTTTAAATATTACAAGAATCTATTATGATAAGTTTTTAATTACAGTGACATATCATATGACAGGTACGCAGCAACATTTCCCAAATTTAAGAGTAAGGTCAAAAAAGAGGGTTATGTAGCACATGTATATTAGGAAAAAATTGGTACTGAAAGGAATTGAACCTAACCCCCCCCCCCCCCCCCCACCCAACACACACACACACACACACCCTCACTCACACACACGAAATAGGATTTTCGAGTTTAGGCTATTTCATTTTAGTTTCCTTTTTGTTTTTGATTGTCAAGTTTTTAAAATCTTTTTTCAGCTGGTTGCCCCCTCCTTTCAAAAACGATGCTACGTCAATGCATAACAATGCAATACTTTCCCTTTGCGTGGTTCTACCATAAGTACAATGTAAGTTTTAGTTATTTTTATGAAAATTTTGATAAAAATCTATTTTGAAAATCAAATCATTTTGATGTTATGAATTTTTATAGAATTCAAATGTTCATTTTTTTTTTTACTAACACCACCGATTTCTACTGAAATACTAATTCCATCTTTTTGAAAAGGAATATCTTCTAAATATCAATATTTTTAATATCTTAAACATACATGGACACAGATTTGAAGTTAATTTAATTTCATCTTAAAGTTATTGAAACAAGATTGCCACTTTTCCTAAGTGTTAAGAATAAAATTAAAATTTGTAAGAGTATGCAAGGATGTGTCAATCAAACCTGTCTAAAAAATTGAAGTTTTAATAATTTTAAGTTGAAATAAGATTTTTAATATATTTCTGTGTGAAATGCTATTAAAAGATATAAGTAATATTATACAGAAAATATTAACTTCAAATCTGTGTCCATGCACCTTTAATATCTACGACACCTTACGTCTCTCTGCATCGATGTACCTTTTTTGTTTTCATATTTATAACGGAGTACTACATTTACCGCTTTTTGGCAGGTGATACTGCTGATTCAGTAGTGAATACGCAAATTCGTTTAAGTTTTTACATATCACTGAATTCATTTAAAAAGAAAATGTGCTGAGAAGTGTGAAGATTTTCTGTGCACCGACAAAAAAAAAAAAAAAAAAAAAAAAAAAATCCGGAACCTTTGGGAGCCGGGTGTCGGGAGGACTAGATTTACAGAGTGCACGTTTGTTAAGTTTTTTTTCGTTTGTCGTGTCTTTATGTACGTTTGTTCTGCAAAGATGATCGTTGGTTTTGCATTCATATATGTTTGTTACGTACGTGGTCGTTGGTTTTGCTTTAATGTATATTTGTTCTGCGAAAAAGTCTGTTGATTATGCATTGTATATCATTTGTTAAGTTTTTATGGTCATTGAAATTAAAATAATTGTTTGTTTTCTCATTATGGTAATTTTTGCCCTTTCCGCTGCCCATAACAGATGATACAAACAAAAAATGGATGCCTGGATTGGTATATATTTTATGGCCTAATTTCATTGCAAATGATGCAAAAAATAAATTTCTAGAATATCAAAAAAAGCTGTAAACCTTCTGTGATGTTCAAAAGTCTGACCTTCTGAAACCATCTTTATTAATCTATACAAATTATTTTCATTTTAAATTCCACTATTGTCCAAATTTGAATGAAAAATTAAAAACCGCGCAGTGAAAGTTATTCATTTTATTCATTTAAACATGACCCAAGTTGTTATTTTCAAATTCTTCGACAAAGTTTGTTTGTATCATCTGTCCTTAATTTAGGAGATATCTTACCGATATTATTTTCAAATCCAAAATTTTGTTTAAATATTTTGTAAATCTGTCCTTTTGAAGAATTATTTACGTCACTAGACCACTTTTGATTAAATTTAGTTATCTTGTAATATTTGTTTTTACTAGCAGTTATCCATTTATAATTCATACTGACACCTTGTTCGTACCATACATTTGATAAGCCACATATCACATATTGTCTATATCAACATGCTAAGCATTCAACATTCGATCCAAATTACGTTCATGTAAACTATTAATTTCTATATTAATTTCCATGTGCCATTTTAAATGGTAAAAACAATTTGAGCTTATATTAACTTGTAAAAACTGAGTACAATGTGAAAGAAACAAACAGTTCTAGACTTTACTTGTATACTAAAGTTTTTTTTTCATATGAAAGGATTCTAAAATGCTATAGTTTTCAAAACCTTATACTTCTGCACCATAGATCAAAATAAGAACAACCATGGTGTGAAAAAGGTGCAGTTGCATATCAATAGGTGAATTCAATTTCCTAAAATTTCTAAGAACAATGTTCAAATGTTTTTGAATTGGAAAAATGAAATTATTAAAGAGTTATTTCCCTTTTCAAAATGTCCATAAAATTATTAATACGGCAGTTTTTGACCTGATGCGGCGGTGCCTGAGAAATTCTCTATTTATTTTTTTGGTCTTGGCAGAGATTTTCTGTGATACTAATTCAATAAACAGAGATAAACAGAAAATAGATAAATTCTGTATTAAAAATTACAAAATTAAAAGAAGACTAGTGAAAATTTACCTGTCTGTTTCCGACGATCTGTATAATAAAAAAATTATGGATAATTGCAGCATCAAACTTCAGCTGTCAAGCACTCTTCTTAAAAGTCAATATATACAAAAAGAAATTGTAAACAGATAATATTCAGTAAATAAACCAGTATTACCTTCTTCCATTTGTTGGCGCTTTAATTCTATTAAAAAAATTAATATACAATAAGAATACATAACATTGTTATCTGTAAAAGATTTTAAAGATATAAAGTTACGATATTTTAATGAATGACATATATGAAGTACTTAGATTTACTAAAAAGAAATGTAATAAAGCTTACTCAAATACCGGAAAGCTCATTCTCGAGAACATCCTTTTTATTTAATTCCAAACAAAAAGAAGTTTTATATGGAAATATTTCAGATGCTATTCATAAGAATATGATGTAAAAGTAACTGGTGTGTTGCATTACAAGAGTTCTTAAATTCGACCTTGAGTAATAAAACATACATCAATCACTGACAAATATTCAAGTTTTGTCTCTAAAGATAAGTAATGGATATATGCCGAATACTGTTCTATATGTAAAATTATCAGACTGTTTGAGGCCCGTTAGGGCCGAAAACTGTCTGATAATTTTACATATAGAATAGTATGAGGCATATATCTTACTTAAAACATTGCCATTTAAATGTCCAAAAGTTAGCTGGAGAAGTCCGATAATAACACAATGGGAGTTTAGGAATCCATTGTTTTCTACCCGTCTGATAAATAGATAAAAGAAATGATTGAACGGTAAAAAAGTGAGTGAACTCTTGTTTCATTAATTTCATTCATTCAATTGCAGTCGTTTCATTTAGCAGGACAGGGGTGGTGAAAGATTGGGGGGGGAACATTTTTATTTATGATGTGCATAAATTGACATTGATACTGACATAATTTTGGGTGATATTTTAACCATCACCATGGCAAGTAAAATGCAGATTTTTACCCTTGCTGAATTTTTAGCTTAGATAATGGAAATTCTCAGGTTTTTGAAAGTGTGGCCATCGGGGAACAATCCTAAAAGGAGATTGCAGAATCTTTGTTTTCAGAAATGGATTTAAATTCGTTATTCAAAGTGCTGAATCAAAAACTCTTTTAAAGAGTGAAAATTAATGTTGTGGAAGGTTTAAACCCGGATTTTTTTTTCATGTATTTGGTATTTTGTAGTGTGATTAACTTAATTTCCTTGCATTTGGTTTTCCTGAATTTTTTTCCTATCATTTTTATTGGGGGTTTCTGGACTTATTTAATCTTAATTTCACTCTTCTTTTTGTTTTTTAAATACCATCCGATTTTATTATCATTGCCGTCCGATAATATATTATCAGACTGGTAATCATTATTATCGGACGGCTACAGGTAAATTTTTAGACTGCAAGAACAAAGGCTTGACATCACAGCAATGTTTTAAGATTTATTTTACCATTGAAAAGAAAAAAAAAGACTGACAACCGTTCAAACTCAGGAGAATTTTTCATAGAAAAATTTCTCCTGAGTTTATCTGCAAAACGCCAAATTACTAGTATAGAGCCCAAGAATATATTGATGTTACCAAAAAGATGATCTTTATACATTTCATAATCTAAATAGAGTTAACAAGTAGAGAATCATTAGATTCTATCTTCAGATATTCATATGCCAAGTCACAATAGAGTAAAATATTTATTTGCATAAAAGTATTTAAAATATTTAAAGAAACAATTAAGTGTGTAAATAACAGTTGTTTATCATGTTTAAAATAAATTCACTTCTTGATTTCACGAGTATTTGTTGTTTATTAAACATTTCAATGTTAAATTTTATTGTTAGAATTTTATGTTTTGCTATTAGATACATCTGTTTAATGCTTGGATATTTTACTTGAAAAAGACATTAATGGTAATCTAACAACCAAGGTCTATGATAAACGTGATGACTTTAACTTTTCTGTCGTTAACTCCCCTTACTTATGCAGCAATATACCTTCATCACCTGCATATGGAGTTTATATATCTCTGTTGATTCGATACGCAAGAGAATGCTTTACGTATGAACAATTTCTAAAACGAGATAAATTATTGACAAACAAGTTGATGAAACAAGAATATCAGCAGCCTTGTTTAAAGTCATCATTTCGTAAGTTCTTTGGTCTATACAATGAACTTGTCAGCAAAAGAATTTTAAGGTTCCTTAAAATACTTTATGTATATTGATAATGTATTTCTTTCTCAAATGCTGGAGTTATCGCTCTTGCGATACACTCCAGCTTAATTTAAATAGTATCTTCTTATATGGTAAGCTATGTGAGCTCTGATAGATAGAACCAATAGAATCGTTTCACGGGAAACTGAAGGTGCGTCTCTTTAGAGATAGCGTGGGTCGCCACTTTCTTTCAGGACACCGGACAATTAACTCACTGGAAATTTTTCTACGAATTTTATCCACCTCCACCCCTCCACCTTCCTTTTTTAATGAATAAATCCACATCTTATTTGTTTCTGTATTGCGGTTTCAGACCACAAGGTATAGGTTGCTTTAAAATTATGTTTAATCATTTACATCATTAATGGGAAAATTAATGGGAATTATTAATTAATATTCATTGAAATTTTATTGGGGTAAATAATCAAATATTCATAATTGTATATCAAATTTTAATTAGGTTATGATTACATAACCATTGAATGAGATTTACATCATTTTATCATTTTATGTAACTAAAATTTGGGTTATTATTAAAGTCACAGTGGTGGCAGAGTGCAACATAACTTATTGTTTCTGTGTCATGTATGAATGTATAAGATGGAGGGCTCATGAGGTTAAGAATGGTTATTTACATGAACGGAGGAAATGCATACTAATTGAATATACATGGAAGTATGCTATTTTGGAATGTTGGGATTCGAACATTGTCAATTATGGATAAATACAATTCATCATTGAGTCAAAATCTGACTGATGTTTTTCCTACTAATAGTTAGTCCATTATTTATACACTGAATTGACAACGGATTTTTCTGTTATTTCCCGATCATGACAAAGAGCACACGGCGGGTGAGACCAGTCAGAAGGGAATCCTCACTCCTCCATGGCACCTTATCCCACCTCTGATGTTTTGAAGTCCGTGTCTGCTCCTATTTTGTATTGTTCTATGGACTTTGATATTGAATAATGTTCGTTATCTCCATATCCTTCATTGAACAGTTTACCAGTTAAAGGTTTATGACTACAGGTTGTTTGAGCAATTTCAAATGGCCACATTTCATAGTAGTTATGAAGAACGTCATTAGGCAAAAATAATCAAACACTAATTGACATTGTCAAAAATATTTCAATGACTACTCTATGCTGTCCAAGTAAAATGGAGTAGTTTTGCAGATTTCTAAAAGAAACGTGTTTATTAAAGAAAGTAAAAATTGTTTTATATTCATGTGTGTTTCGCATGAAAATTGGCCGTATATATCTGCAAGTATAGTGGGTATTACTTCTATCGTCAATTCCAATCAAAGAAAAACCATGGTAAAAAGTCCATCATCTTTGCATCTCATTTTAATTTTTTTGTTTTTATATTATTTGCAAAAAAATGTTCAGGAAACAATTTCTTAACATGTCTATGTTAATTAAATTTCATCATTTATTTTTAACCGTAACATGAAAATTACCTTCAAGTCTTTTGATTTCTTTTTCCTGCTCTGCTCTTTTTTCTGTAAAAGACTTCAGACATTCAAGCAAACATTTATGTGAAAAAAATTAGCATAAAACGTAAACCCTTAATCAAATTGAGGTTTTTTGATTAAATCTAATCCTGATAACTAATTTTAGATAATAAAGTCTACATGCAAACCATAAGAAATATTTGCATTTAGTTGCAAAATGTACATGGATATGTAGCTGGTTGTGTCTGATAGAATCCATGAGTTTAGTAGAGGACTATAACAGATGGATGAGACCGCATTATTTTAGGTCCCTTGTCGCAGTAGGTGCTGACTAGAAAATTGTTCATCAATGCTCAATGGCCTTAAGTGCCGATTTTAGGTCCTTCACCGGCAATGATGTCTCAACACGAGTGAAATTTTGTCTGTATTGTATTGTAAGTTTAACCACTTTTTCTACTTAAGGTCAGACGATACTTCCCCAAATTTCTGTTTTGTATATTTTTATAATATATAAAAAATGTACAAAATTTTAATTACTTTCTGATTTCTAAACTTGTTTCTAATTGTAAAAATTTGAAACACTAAAAATGTGATTTTGGCAAACTTAATTTTTTTCCCCTAAAGGATTAAATAAGAAATGCCATCATCTGGTATCTCGCACAAATGCATGGTAAGGTACCCCAATTTTTTGTGAGTAATCATGTTAAAGTAGTATTTGATTAATGTCAAAGTCTTGGAAAAATAATATATATTATTGAGGAACGTCTAGTTTGTCCTTAAAAAGGTATATATTCAGCTTTGATCCGACCTTTACTGACATTTCTTCTACTAGATGACATCTCCATGTTACGATTGAACAGACTAAGTTTTCTATGGTGTTGCCTTTTTGCACTTTTTTGGGGAAATTTGTATTCCCTAACGAAAAATTACTACAGCTAACTTTAGTAAAAGTTGATAACATACATGTAATAATTAACTGAGGTAAACTTTATTAAACTATATTTATCATTTCTATCTATTATTCTTATCTCTCTGATTGACGCAAACTTGATCACATGATCAAAGATTTAACAGCATAATAGACTTGTGTTAATATTTATAGATTCCAAAAAGCATATAGACATGATGTTTAAAAAAGGGAAATAATCTTCACTACAATAACAAATGTGCTCGGTCGAAATTCTTTCAAGTGAAGTCGATATATCTAAGGATCGACCTCAAGGGTTATATTTATATATTGTTTATTGTATTGTTGGCTAGAGTGTTTTATGTAATTTGTCTCGGATGCTCACAAATTCGATATCCATTAAAAAAATTCAATTAAAAAAAAATACACAATGATACACAATGATACACAATTGATACACAATGATTATTTTTATTATTGACATATTTTGTCATTAAAAGTTGTAAAATTCTTAAATATTTTATTGATTTTTAAGTTATGGCTGATCATTCATTTGATTACAAAATTTCAAATGATAAATGCGCATTATTTTAAAGTTGATTTTATTAAAATTAAGAAAGCTATCAAAGATGAGATTCTTCATAATAATTGATTATGCAAGATTAATGCTAATTATGGTTGCGATGGTAAGTTATTACATGGGGGAAAATGGTATAAATTTGTATATGCATTGTAAAAGTATTTTTGTCCAAAGAAGTTGTGCATTTATAATGTTGTCAATGTTTTAATCATCTATAATACGATAATTCATCATCAAATGTAATTAGCCATACCTCTTTCTCTCTGAAGTTCTGAAAGAGATTGTGTATCTTGGCCATTTCCCATCTTCTCTTTTTTCAAACTCAACTTCTATCCACAAACCTAGGATTAAAAAAAGCCAGTGTTTGATAACTTTCGAATTGGAGTCGATTTTGAGTTCAGTTTAGAATTGCTTTGATATTTTTAGATATTGTAAAGATAGAGTAAAAAGCATGAGGATTAGGAGACCCAGGACACATCTCTATTCTACGTCCTTGGTAATAAAATATAAAACGCTAGTTACATTTATTTACGGAAAACTCATTGTTCTAAAATTATGAAGATTTATACAATGTAGCTGTCTTACATTGTATAGATTATTCCAGGATTAGTTGTACCGCGATGATGTTTAGAATATATATTTTATGAAATTAATAGGTTTGTTCTATTATATCTATCTATGTAGTAATAAAAATTTCTATTTCAATAACAACTCCACAAAACTACTAAAACAATTAACACGAGATCCTCAGTCTATACTTAACAATTAGACGTATATTTGTTATTAATCTAAGTGTTTTGCAGGTGAAACGTTCCAAGATGCTTTTGAAGTAAGAATCCACTTGATTTAAATTTATAAAAACAGTTAAGGATACATATCAAACCCGATAAATAATGGTGTCGGAAATGGATTAAAAATGTTTATCGAAATATAAAGTCAAATATAAAGTCAAATTCTGGTTGAGGTTTTCATACTAATTATTAGGCCATTATTTACTCACTGCACTCGTAGCCCGCTTGAGATAGGGGTTAGAGCGTCTGCTCTAGAATCGAGGAGTAAAGAATCGATCCTTACAATCACACGGTGGTTATATATGTACGGTCGACGAGGGAAGCTCACTCCTCTATGGCACCTCATCCCACCTATGATATTCCAGAGGTCCCTGTTTGCTCTGCTCCTGATTTGCATTGTGTATGGACTTTTTACCTTGAATACTGTTCGTAATCTCCAAATATTTACTGCCGAATTTTTCAGGAAAAATTATATTCGCCAATAAGCAAAAATTTCCCTATTTGCTTAGGCTTGTTGCTTCAGCTTGTATTCTAAACGAATATCTGAATCCTTTTTGGAACATTTTCTAATTTTCTATAGAAAAAATACGTATGCCTCAAGTCACATACGTCTCTACAGATCTGGTTGACACTAACTACAGACTAATTACAGAATAAATGGATTGTACAAAATGGTACGAATCCATGGTGTTCCGTTGGGGCCACTTGCACCGCCAAACTCTCCTCTTTAGGACGAAGATGCGAGAGTGCGAAGTTGCAAAGGCAGAAGTGCAAAGCTGCAAAGGCAAAGGACCAATGATATTGCACTTTCGCAGGGAAATATTTACCGTTTGATTGAAATTAATTAATATTTTTCAGTTTACGCCTTCACCATAGTCGGGATTGATATACTTTCGGAACTTTTCCACAGTGACTGTATTGTTAAGTCAGACTGGTGGAAAATACCTCAAGTTCTTACTCACCAATAAATCTGTTGTATTTCAGTTAGTCACGCAAGTGACTTATCAAACCAAGAATTTTAATAACAAGAGTTTGCAAATTTACAAATATTTATTATAGCAACAATTATATTTTATTAACAGCACAAAATATTTACATTTATACATTTACAAAGAAAACTGATGTACTAATGACTTATACTACTAATGGACCTCAATAGTTAGTGCCTTCCTAACAGATGTGAAAAAAATCCAGAAACCGTCCTATCCAAAGCTAAGTCCGAAGAGAAGTGTCCCACCCATGCACAAAAAGTATACTACATGTACTTGTATGGATAACCCAACCGATTTACCAAAAATAGAAATAAGGAACTGGAATTTAATACAAAAGTGGAAGTGTAAATAAAGGAAACAATAGGGCCACTTGAACGAGACAGAGACGGAGACCGGGATCTTCCCCTTCTATAAAAAGATGCGAGCTGGCTCAAACCTTTTTGAATGTTCAAAACCAACTGAACTGATCTATATGTGAAATACTGGACTTAACAATGAGTACAATGTGTTGACACAGAAGCGAGAACATGAGATAATGGTAAATACAGTTAAAATCAATACTTAAACTTTGTCATCAATTATTAAGGCACATTTTGATAATAGTAATAAAAACTACCATATTATAAAATCTAATCCTATCACTATAGAAACAATATAAAAGGAATGCGCAATTTGACTGAATTATGAATTGTTATTTAGCTTTTGTTGTAGAATTTCATGTTCAGAATGTATTTTAACAAAATTTATTTAAAACCAAAATATGTCACAAAATAGTCAATGCATGATAAATATTACAGAAAATTGATCATTTGTTAGTCAAATTAGTGTAGAATTGCCATTTTGTTTTCGCGGTAGCCATCTTGAAAAATGACGGAAATTTTGATAGCCAAGGAGGAATGTAGAAACAAAATTAATTGACAGATAATTTTGGAAAATTTCCTACTTGTGTCTACAAAAGAAATATTTCGGTAAATTATAATGCTAAACTATATGGAAAATATTATAAATGCAAATGTAATAATGTGTGCTTTTATATATATAATATCCGACTTTTGAACCTTGCTTTAATATATAAAATTCCGACAGCACTGTACATATTTCCGTTTCTTCTTCCGCCTACAGACTTGGAGGACGGACATCTTTAAAATTCTGTGATTTACCTCATTTCACCCCGTTTCCGCCAAATTTTTGGTTGTAATTTTATATTTGTAAGCGTTTTTAGACCCATTTTTAGGATTTACCTCTCAAGCCCAAGTTTAATGACATTTGGATTAATTCCAGTTATCAACAGTCTTATTTAAAGTCATCATTTCGTAAGTTCTGTGTTGATACAATGACCCTGTCAGCAAATACAATTTATCATTAAGTAAAACGCTGACTGACGATTTTCATACAAATTGTTTGTCCATTATTTACACACTGAATTCGTAGCCCGGGTGGGGCAGTGGTTAGAGCGTCTGCTCTAGAATCGAGGAGTAAAGAATTTATACACTGAATTGACGACGGATTATTCCGTTATTTTCCAGTCAAGGAAAACACGGCGGGTCTGACCGGTCGTGAGGGCACGCTCACTTCTCCATGGCACCTGATCCCGCTTCTGATGTTTTTGAGGCCCGTGTTTGCTCTGCTCCTATTTTGAATCGTTTATGGACTTTTGATTTTGAATACTAAATGTAGTCACTGTTGTCTCCATATGTTTCATTCCCTTTACAAAATTTGATATACTTTTCGTAATTGTATCTTGTGTCTGGTACAATTATTAAACGCCACAAAGTGGGCATCATACAACAAACTGTATTCATTAAAAAGGATAAGATATTGCATTTTGAATGATAAAGGATTATTGAAAACAATACTAGTAAGCATTTAAGAGGTTACTTGGATATTAAACTCTGACCCTATTCATTATGGTAGATCAGTTTTTTTATTCCCCAGTTATAATAATTGAAAAACCCTCTGCTAATTAACAGCGTTTTCAAGAGATCACGATCGCCTCATAGTCATCAGGGTTGGTTTCCATCACAAAGAAATCCAGGGAATGGGTGCCAAAGACAGCAACAAATCTAACTGAGTGCCATGGGAAAAGGTCAACAACATGTTGGATACCTTCTTAAATGAGAAAATTAACTCTGTGTGTGCCTATTTATTTCATTACAGATCCAAAGATTTTTTGATAAAAAATCAATTAGTGGTGATTCAATCATGATGGATGTGATTGATTACGGGTTCTATAAAAAAAATTTATCCCTTTGAGGCTTTAATTACTTCATTAAATAGTTAGGTAATTGTCCACAGCAAGAACACTACAAACATAATCGAGTTAACGATGCCAAATCTAAGATCTCAAGTTCGTCATCTCTCCGCGAAGACAATTATGCCTATAGGTAACCTTTTGTCGGGGCAAATATGATGAGTTGTCTTTGGATATTAATGATGTGTTTCATATCCTTTTTCATTTATTACACAATAAACTAAAATTCATATAGGGCAACAGAAAACTCAACCAAAAAAGCAACTATCTGTTATGGTTCATTTATCTCAATTTCTAACAGGATTGTAGAAACATCTTTATTCAAATTATGTAAAACAAAATCAACAATTAATATAAATTAACGCTTTGCATTATAAACAGGATATCATTCTGGTAGAAGAGTAAGTGAAAGCGTGTCAAAGTCTAAATAATTAAAATATAGGGTATTTTAATACAAATGATACACATCTTGAGACTATTTATTTCCGCAAGGTTATCTTTCAATTTTCATAAGCTTGATATAGCCATTATAATATCATAATTTATAATGAAAGTTAACATGAAACATATGGAGTTAACGAACAGAATTCAAGAACAAATGTCTATAAAACAAAACAAAATAGGAGCAGAGCAAACATCAGAGGTGGGATCAGGTGCCATGGAGGAGTAAGCATCCCCTGCCGACCGGTCACATCCGCCTTGTACTCCTTGTCATGATCGGGAAATAACGAAAAAATCCGTCGTCAATTCAGTGTATAAATAATGGACTTACAATTAGTATGAAAAACATCAGTCAGCATTTGACTCAATGATACACTGTATTTGCTGACAAGGTCATTGTATCGACCATAGAACTTACGAAACGATGACTTCAAACGAGACTGCTGATATTCTTGTTTCATCAACTTGTTTGTCAATAATTTACCTCGTTTTAGAAATTGTTCATACGTAGAGCATGCTCTTAAGTATCGAATCGACTGAGATGAATGCACTCCGTATGCAGGTGATGAGGGTATATTGCTGCAGAAGTAAGGGATGTTGACGATTGGTACGCAATTGGTACCCATGGGAATTCCAATAGGTTGTTGGAAGACCCGGTCTCCAAAATCGACATAGATATTGTAAATCAGAAACGCAAGCATCTTTTTGTTGTGAACTTCCGAGTAATTGTGTGTTAAATCAGATTTTTTGTTTAACAAAATAATTTTGCAGAGAAAAATGACAAGGTAAGTAAATATACGACTTCCAATTTTATTGAAAAAGCAGCTGTCAATGATATCAAAAAGCCTGGACTTTAATTTTTCGTGGGGAATGGTTGTGTATACAGTTGTAAATTCGTAAGTTTTTATGCTGTTTATTTTGGTGAAATCTTGTGATTTCAAATTGTCCAAAAGCTCCCTGGAGTTTTTAAGTATCCACATCTGATTTACATCACTTCTTGAATATATTTTTGCACAGTACTCTTGAAGTTTCTCCTTCACTACATGTTAATATTTTAGTGAGGAGTAAAAAAAGAGGGTTGGTTGAACATTTACCGGAACCTGCTATGTATCTTTGTTTGTAAGGATTCGTATGAAGTTTTGGAATTCAATATATATTTAAGACTCCAAAGTGCGATGGTGACACCAAAGTCCGATGGTCTCGCCAAACCCCGATGGTCTGCGCCAAACCCCGATGGCTCGTCCGATGGTCACGCCAAAGCCCGATGGCTCGTTTCCTATGAGACACGTTGCGCTTAAGTGCGATGGTCTGACACGCCAAAGTCCGATATGAACAATATCCGATATGCGGATGAACAATCAACGTTTATGATGTCACAGTTATCCGACGTCAATCCTTGACGCCGTTGTCCTGCATTCAAAAGCCATCATTTCTGAATTCGTCCTCGAATACAATTTTATTGATTTTGCTTATTGCTCGCACTTTCCAGGGATATTAGGGTTAGTCCTAGCACAACACTCGATTGATTAGGTTTAGTCATTTTATTGCACAACCCGAGAGATTTAGGGTTAATCCTCGCACACTATAGTCGAGTGATTAGGGTTAGTCTTGCACCCACCCAAGATATTTAGGTTATTGTTAATATACACTTTTTGAGCATTTAGGGTTAATCTCGCACCTATCTGAGACATAAGGGATAGTTTTTCATTTATTTATACTTATTTTTAAGACCTTGACATGGCGGGGCATTGAGGTTTTGCGCAGTGGTACTATGACGTCATAAACATTAATTGTTTTCCTCACCATCGGATTTTGGCGTGTCGAACCATTGGGGTTTGGCGCAGACCATCGAACTTTGGCGTGATCATCGGACTTTGAAGTCCCATCGCATTTTGGAGTCCTACATATATATGGTAGCTCAAATTCATTTCATTATATTATGATTAATTCTTAATGTAATTCACTTAGGTGTACAGTAAAGATTAAATTGTATCTATTTAGAAAAAAAATACGGGTCATATTTAAAAAATGCATTGTCTATGACTAATAAGTTTCCGGTTAGTATTATGCATTTATTGACTGAGTTCGTTTTGTCGGATCCAAGAACCAAACTGTCTGCCGGAGGCATTTTGCCCGAAAACACAGTCAATAAATGTTTTTATGTACCTTTCATTTAATTTTTTTTACATAAATGTACGAGGGGTGTTAGAAAAGTTCGCAGACAAGTTCTATTTTGAGCGCGCTATTTCCACGAAACCGGTCAAACTGTCCAGATAATTACCTTAACCTATTTTCCAATAAATATACAAAAATTTGGTGCTCTAGGGTGATAATTATACAGCTTTTTTATTTTGATAAAACTTGCTTCACGGAGCATGCTAAATTTTGGCACGTTTACATCACAAAGATTCTTTATTAAAATAAAAAAAAATGCACAATTGTACCGCAAAGAGATTTATGATGTTTTACTTGTCGCTAAAGTATTCATGAAACGTCACTGGGAGAAACTTTGAGTTAAATTGGAGGGTATATGACTGCTTTATAGCCATTTATAAATGATCAACGCGTAGAAACAAAGCCAAAAATTGGAACGTCATTGAGCGTCATGGAGCACTGCACTACGTAAAAATTATGTGTGCAGACAGGAAAATGTCTATAAAGAGATTAAAATGTTCAAGATGCTGTCGGGAATTTCCTACACATATAAAGGACAAAAGTTTTCAAATGGTTGTATCTTTATAAGAATGGAAGGATTAACATTTTGAATGATTAACTCCATCGATACTTCAATACCCCCTTATCGTATGGACGTTGTGCCTATATGGATTTGCATAGTTTCCATACCTGATGGATTAACTGCATAGACATTTTTAAAGATCTCAATAATATCCGAATCAATACAATCTGAATCAGTACAAAATACATTATAGTAGAAAAGTAACATGTCTTGATATAGATATTCAATTTTACAGCAGAAAAAAGATAAGAACAATCTGAATAAACGAAAGATTTATAGAACTGCAATAAAGCTTAATGGGTTGAAATCTGGTTGTCACGTCGCCTTACGTCAAATGATTGCTCCGTGAATCCCATGACATCATAGTAAAAATCTTTGTAAATTTTCAAGATTTTAGCAAATGGACCTGATTTTTACATACGAATAAAGTAATGCTAATAATAATGTGGGAATTTATTCAGACATAGGTCATACTTCACAGTACACGATAGATTTTTCGTAATATAATGTGTCCGCAAACTTTTCTAACAACCCTCGTATTTTTTTTACTGTCTTTCGTGATGTAACATCAGGTCCGTCACTTTTGAACACCAACGAATGAAAATGAGATTAAGCTACGCCCATTCTGTGACGTAAGCGGTCCAACATCTCCTTTATGCCCGCTTACCAAAACATTACAAATGTTAGACTTTTTCCGTATAGATTTGTATAGGAACAAATTTTTAAAGGTATAACAAATATAACATATCCAGATGAGCTTGCTTATCTTGCTTAAGATATTTATTTTCAATATTTATCTTTAGACAATCTTTTATGTTTTGATATTTAAATTATTTGATGCAGAAAGTGGAAGAACACTTTAAAGCGAAAAACAAAGCCATAAACATTTATATAAGCATGTTTAAATACTATTTCTCAAAAAGTATAACAAAAACCGAAAGCTTGAGAAGCACTCTAAATTTCAATTTTTTTAAAAAATAAATAGGAAAGTTTAATAACGTAAAGCTACTAATAAGGAAGCAATCTAAGTGCAATCTGTTAGATATGACATAAATCAATTTCTTTATTCAGTTATTTTATTCACATGCTGACTTAGAATAGAAATATTTCATTTTACCTTGCAAAATGTTCGATGTGCACCTTCCACTCCTATGAAACCTTTCTTATGACATAGTCATAAACGCATGCGCATTATCATATTTGGGGACTTTACTATTACAAAGGCAATAATTTACAATGTGAAGGCCAGTGGAAGATTTCGAAAACTCGAATCCCTGGAAAATTAATTGACAATCATTTCTTCTATCCATTGGTAAGTTTCTATATAATTTGCTTTTTTCTCATTTAAAATCTAACCTATTTCCAAGAGTTTTAAGGTATAAATGAATGATACAAACAACACTATGTATGTTTTAATGGTATCGCTTGAATGATAAGATGTTTTTTCTTAGAAAAGACTGCATGCTGAATTTTATTTCTTCCTTGTTTTGACTGCATTTTCATCAATTATTGATTGAAAGTCAAGTTATTGATTCTATCACACAACTTTTCAATAGAGATTGTAACGAGTTTCAATAATTCAGAATGTAATGGTCAAAAAAAAAAGAGAAAGAGCACACTGAATAATGTTTAAAAAAACAACCATTTAATATATACTGACACGCAAAAGAAACGCAACAAGCAGTAATATGCAAATGTTTGATATTTTTATCTTATCATTTTCAAAAGCGAATAAAGTAAGGCTAAACTCACTTTTCAGAACATCACAGGTTTGATAAAAATGTTAAATGTTTACCTGTTTACTTTACTAAGTAAAATATGACTGTTAAAACACCCCTCCCAGCCATTCAAGTAAAACGAGCAAGACTGCCCTAAACAACAATTGCAGCTTAATTTCTACGATACAATAGATTCATTAACATCGAGATCTGAGCGAAGGAAATATTCTTTTGCATTTTAAGATGCCCGTTTTTCAGATGATTAGGTCGAATTTTCTCTAACTTAGAGCAGTGTAGCCACCCTTGGACTTCAGGTACGAGAGCCGTGCTTAATGCATATGATACGTAAGACCCTGTTAAGGCGCAGTGTAGTGAAATTTCGCATCAGCAACTCTCCATCACCTTTACATTGAAAATTTTCAGCTAGAACAATGGAAACATGCAATTTTTTGATTTCTGTTAAGCAGACTCAAACTTGACTTCCGGTTATGGTATGGAAATCGTTCAACCGTTAAATCACCGATGTTTACCAAATTGAAGATTTTCATAATTTTACGATACAAAATTCTTTACTTTACATAATTATTCCCCCCTAAAGTAGGGTGTTGCGTTTCTTTAGCGTGTCAGTACACTGTGTTAACTGATCCCACCTCTGACGTTTTCATGGATCCCTAGTTGCTCTGTTTCCAAACCGCATTGTCTCAATGGACTTTTGAGCATGATAAGAATTTGTTATTTCCATAATTCATTTTCTTATAAGTAATGACTGTCAAGCAGGACTATTGTAGAAAAGCATACAACATGAACACAACGAAGATTATGTCTGATACATACCACTGTATTGATTTTATTGTATTGAAAAGTCAGAATAAAAAAAAAATTGAACTTCAATTATGCTAACATGCAAGACTGGACCTTTATGAGTTTAAGAATATTATTTACATTATTGTCATCAATTCCTTTGTTAACAAAGAATAAGATCCAATTAGAACATTTTCTTTGGTTTGTATATTTATATAAAAAAAGAAAAATTTCTAACTTTAAGTTAACAGTAGATTATAGATTACTCCGACTCTTGAAGCTTGTAAATCCATTAAAATGCACGCTAGTTTGTGTATTTCGACGTCATAAAGTGTATCATTACCTAAAACCCGGAAAATTTCTTCAATAATGGCCAAAGGTTTAGGAAGTTTTCAATAACATGCATAGAGACCCAACCTCTGGTACAAAATATGCAATCATATAATGAAAAATTCTGCTTCTGAAGTTCAGACACTTTCCTATATAGATCGAGAGGTTGGCTTTTATTTTAGATCTAAAGCACATGTTTTCTGCATAAGTCAAGATGATTGCACTACACAAAACTTGGTTTTGATAACAATTCAATACGTTAGAAATTCTTCAATTATTTACCTTAAATTGATATTTGAAAGAGAATATTAGATCTTGGTCACTTAACTAAGTATAAGAACAGGACACTTTTATTAATTAGGTGAACCTAGCTCTCTAAGTTGAAAAAAAGAATTAAGGATAACTAGTAGTACATGTATAAATTGCGGCCCGTTATGAGCAGATCTATTTTTGTATTTATGTGAATCAAAATTATTTTAAGATTTTAAACATGAGATGAAGGCAAAACAAGAAAACAGCAAAACTCTTAGATAAACTTTTAAGATACTTTTAAAACAATCTTCAATTTGAATAACATATGTAGCAATTTACTCTATCACCTGAAAAGTGGGTTTAGGGCTATCAATTTATTCGAGACGCAAGAGCATGCTCTGTGTATGAACAATTTCGGAAACGAGGCAAGCTACTAACAAACAAGTCGAAAAAAAAAACAAAAATAGCAACAATCTCGTTTAAAGTCACTATTTGGTATATTCTATGGTCGAAACAATGGCATTGTACGCACATTCAATCTATCATTATTATATCAAATGCTGACGGACATTTTCAAAATAATTGTTACGTTACATTTTATACTCCGAATTTTCTCCGGATGTTTTCCGTTTTTTTTTTCCATTGAAATTTATCAAGGAGCAGACGGTGGATGTGATTGGTCGGCAATGGATGCTCACTCCTCCATGACACCATGACACCCGGTTCCAACCTCTGATGATTTGACATTCGAGTTTGCTCACTTAGATGAGCCCACTATTGATGTCAGTCTCACTTTTCTACTATTCCTTTTGGTTGGGTTGGGGTTAGGGTTAGTGCAAGGTATATGCACCCAATACTAGTTCAAGGACTAACCCTAATCTCTCAGGTGGGTGCAAGAGTAACCCTAATCAGTCGAATAGTGTGCAAGACTAGCACTTATCAGTTGAGTGACACAAATGTTACGTCATGGTCCAACGAGCGAGAGGATCTTGCGGATCTTGGGACCTGTAAAGTAACGTCTACCCGCCTGATTTTGTTTTGCTCAAATTTGAATATGAACTTGAATAATGCATATTCATCCTAAAAACCTGATAACAACTTTTAATTTTCACGGGGTCAGTGTTTAATATCCTGTTTAAAGATTGTTTGTAGATTTCTGGAGATAGTTTACTGATCATAAATTTCACCTTTTGCAATTCTTATAAACATTTCATTAAAAGATCTTTCCACTGTATTTCCTTTCTCAAGCACACTATGGATGGTGCAATGTACATTAAGAAGTGATTTTTAATTCAAACTCATTAAAAATCGTGAGTTTTGACTGATTTGGTATCATCCTCAATACATCAATATATCTTCAGTCAAATAGTCCTTTAAATTTTTCTTTATAAGTATAATGGTTAATCTTTTGTAACAGTTTTGCAGGCGTTTTCTTAATTTTTTAAATGGACGGGATTGGTGTTTAACTAAGTTTTACCAAACGGATAACCTCTTTAAATATTAACAGTTAATGAATGAATACTTATATATTGCTGTTGTCAATTGCATAAGGAGTCTACTTTACATGAAATCTTAAATTTTGTGAATTTTTGCCTTTCAAAAGGTGAATTTGACCATCTTTCTTCAAGAGATTAGATTTCTACAAGGCCATCTTCCCTTTTTTAATTTTCATATAAAATTTTCATATTTTGTTCGATGTTTAATAACTAGACTAGTATATACTGGAGAAAAATATTAAAGATAGTTTGATTAAATGTATTTAATATTAACTTTAATTTATGAAAGGAAACAAAATGTAGTTCTAATTTCAGTACAATGAACATTTTCTAAAGTACAGTACAGTATAAGTTATTGACGAACAAATTGATAAAACCAGATTTTTCAGCAGTCTCGTTCTAAGTCATCATTTGATAAGTTCTATGATCAAAGCAATGACCTTGTTAGCAAATTCAATATATCATTAAATCTAATGTTGACTGAAGATTTTTATACCACTTGTTAGACCATTATCAAAACATATTAAATTTTCGACAGAGCAGGTTTTTCTTTATTTCCCAATCACAAGGAGCATATGGCGGGTGTAGCGACCTCTAAAGATAAAACGCCGCAAAATGATACAAAAAGCATTAAGCGTTGCAATTGCAACGCCTAATGCCATAAATTATTGCATTAATAGCTGACATTCTCAACCGCTAATGCTAAATCGCCGCTTAATGATATAATTATATCATTAAGCGTCACAAATGCAGAGCAACACTGACGCTTAATGAAACAAGCAAATATCGACATATTCGACGCTTAATGATACACACTATTGTATCATTAAGCGTTGAGTTGCAACCTTTAATGATATAAAATTTATAAATGGCTTGCAATATCTCAGAGAAACACACATCCACATTTCCTGAACAATGAGATTTCACTTCCCAAAACATTTACATATGCCCTTATGCTATATAAAATGGTAATTATTGGAGTTTTACTATGTTTTCTAGCTACCCAGGGGAACTTCTTTAAGTACCGGATGTTTAAAAGACAGACAGTCAGATAGCTTAGAGAAAGAGATACAGACAGAGATAAATAAAAAGATATCCAAATCCTTTTCGAGGAACCCACTTTTTCTGAAAAATATAGGAACAAGCAAATTCCTTCTAATTTGAAGCAACGATTTGAATAGTCAACCTAAAAAATACATAATATATTTGAAAAAAAAATTTATGGAAAAATGGTATTTCAGAATTGATACAGCTTAAACATGTTACTGTTAATGTTCCAGATAAACAAATCTACAAATAAATTTATTATTTTCACTGTTGTATTTTTAATCTGCTACATTTCTTCAAATTTCGAGAAAGAGAGACATCAATATTGACAACTTATGTTTAAGGATACATAATATAAAAAATAAAATGTAATACATTGAATAACATAAATTGTTTTGAGAAAATGGATGATTTATCCTTTATTCATGATCAGTGTTACTGGAATACATTATACTGTTGCATGATTATTTTAGTATATAAATTTATGCGTATGAATATGGGTTTTTCATGTTATCAAATCTCATAAAGCCTGGGCCGA